AAACGGAGTTAGTCAGTCGGTCAGCCGAGAACTGAAACTGGTGATGAGTGATCGATAACACGTATTCGGTTATACTCTTCAATTTCTGACTGCATGACTCAAGTTCAATCAATGAGCTTCTCATTTCATAATTGGTGGTAACTTTCAAATGACAAACACGGTCAAATTGATAACTTTCTTATTTGTATCGCAGTAGCACGCAAAAGTTCAAGTATTAGTGTAGCCACCATCGATTGGTTACAACTCATTTTCATCACACCTCATTTGATACGTAATACAATAGGCTAACCTAAAAATCATTGGAATCGTTTATCCAAGCGTGGAAACGGAAAACCATCTATGTTTCGTATTTGTTTGAAACGGCTTCGATGTTTAGAAACGATATTAATTATCACAATAATATATAATACAACATAATAATGTAATATAGTTGATTAGAATGTCTTCATTGGAGTAGTGAAAAGACAGACAGCGAAGCGCATGGAAGCTAGTCCGGATATTCATTGCTTACTGAATTCCAACGGAATGNTAAATAGTGGCTTTTCCTCTTCAACGGATTTTTGCAGATTCAATATGAAAGTGAAAGTGTATCTCAATTAATGATCGCGTTATAAGGATCTACAGTCCAGTGTATCATAATTTTCGTGTTCAAACCTGGTCCCCATCACCTTACGCATCTATAGAGTGGACGAGCTGATTATGATCATGAATATTGATTTTTGAGAGGATGCTTGTTTCAATTATCATAAGTAACGAATCAATCGGTTTGAAGTTCTGCTATTTTGAAATACTGAAGACATATTCCCATGGACACAGATTTTAACTGTTCAAGGGGAGAGGGATCAGTTGATAAAAAAACATCAAAGCAGAGCAATCGAAATCCCGTACTGAGAGGATTTCCCATTCCTTAACTGATCCAGTCGTAGAGTAAGAAACCTCTGATCTAAAGACACATCCCGTTAATATTCCGAAATGTATACAATCTATTCTTCCCGAATACCTCGTCCCCGTCCCCTTCAGCTATCCCAGAAAGCGATTCAACCCAATTTCCGGAATGGATGAAACATAGCGATAATCCATACTGGTTCCACTCCCATTCAGTGTAGCGACGCATCGATAGAAGACGTGGATAAAACGATCCCATACAGATTGAGTTCGCATTTGCTCTGATCACCCTGTTTCTTGCTAAAAATTTCCTTACATTTATTTATGTGCAATAAACTATGCTGGTTGCAGGATTGAGCTTCTATCCGAGAGCATTCACGAACGCCTCTGAAAGCCTCAGAGTATGGTCAGGGATCACCCTTCCCTTGCACCTCGCGAAATACTCCCATTAGACCAAGCATCTTTCAAATAGCCTCTGATGAGGAAGCCCTACTGACTGCCTTCTCGTGGTAGTGTTTTCCCGCCTAAGTGAGAGGACGAAAAGCCGACATTCGGGGCTATAACTGGGTTAGTGGGCCACTGGCAGTTCACCTGGGAGAGTTGACTAAAACCCTGATTCCACACCAACCAAATGGAGGCGTCCGAACCACATACACATGGAATCCATTACCGGTGTGTTTCTTCATATCCTGTTTACATGGGTCAGTCACATGACCTATTCGGTCTCTTTTTGCACCTCACATTCTCATAATGTGCTAAATGTTGGTGGTAGATTTTAAACAACTGGTCGCCTAGTGTTCAATAAATATGCGCGTAGAATCATATCTGATGGAACGAAAGTGGTGACTGAAGACAAAACCCGATAAACCACGAGAAAGCGCTTTTTTAAAGAGAGCAAACTGAGCTAACCCAAGCATGAGGGTTACATCTGCTACCGAGATCATAATACTCACGGGGTGATAAGACATGTTAGCAGATATTTTATAGTTTTGAGTCCATGTGACCTTTTTAGCCTTGTGCATCAGTACGTAAAAAAACAACTCTTCTTCTGTTGTAGTGAAACGTTTCAATTTCATACACGTCCGGTGTACTGCGAATTTGGAGCAGTGACGTGATCGATAAGCAGGCTGATAAAACTATTTCGAATCATTCAATGTGAATTGGAACCGCTCGATCAGGATTCGACTTCCGGAGGATTCGGTGAAATACAATGAAGTCAAGTCAAGTAAAGCTCTGTCCACCCGATAGGATGAATTTTCAGCATTTTCGACAAGTTACAGTGAGGAAAAACGTAAAGCGTTGGAAGATGAAGAATATAGATGCATGCGGTCACACATTTAACAATTACACTTAGGGGAAAGCCGAGCTATAAACGAACAGCCTACGAACCCTAATGTAAATATTTCCAACATGTTTGGACCAGGAAAGATTATGTGACAAAGTAAATTCAACATATTTGACAGAGTTAGCTTTGCGGATGATATCATCATTAAGAGAAAGTTCCGGTTGACTACTCAAAAGGGTTTGATAATGCCTGTCTGAGTTAAGGCTAATTGGACTTCATGGTAGATCATTCCTCAGAGTTAAATCACAGACAACAATCCTTGTCTCGTTTATTTTCAGCGATCAGTGAGCCCTCTAAAATGATGCTTCTACGAGACAAGTTCGCATCGTATTATTCTGTATTATTCATTTGCTTTCGTTTGGTAAGGTGTGCGGAGAATATTTTGATAATGCATCAACCATTCACTTACTATTCGATTCGAAATCCGATTCTCAGTTTATGGTTTGCGTCCAGGTTAGAATCAACAGATTCTTCTATCTCATGTATAGATATGGTGAATGAATCTCATCAATTGACGGTGGTCACGGACAAGTACGCTCACATTCAGTTCGAGGGAGGGGGTTACCTGAAATCGACCACCACGCATGGTTGATGATACCGATGATCATCCTCCAGCAAGAGGTTTCCGTCCGTGCACAACAAAGTCCTTGTCAGATGCATCATCGATTGATTATACCAGACTCGAATAGCTGAGAAAGAAAACATCGGTGTAAATAATAAATTGCACACCTGTATGGAAACTAAGTTATACTCATGAGTAGTTCCAAATAAGTTGCTCAGAATGTTCAGAATTGAATGTTCCAAAACTGCTCAATCCGGATAGATGAAAGTGATTGATTGTGAGTTAGTAATTATGCTAGCAGACTTCAGCTTTGTATACACAGCGTTCTACACACACACACACACACACACACGCACACACACACATGCTCTCTCCTGTGAACGTGTGCACATGTGAGCAGACTCGATGATGTTCATTCACACGAAAACTGTCAAATGAATGTGAGACGAAACGGTGAAAACTGAGGCTATTTCTCAAACTTGGAATATCTGGCATCCATGCCAATTATGAAATTTCCGTGTGAGAATACTTGAGAAGGAAGTGAGTGGTATCGAACAAAGGGCTAGGGGGGGGGGGGGATGAGAGATGAGGAAGTACCAAAACTGGAAATATGACATCGAATTCATATCAAATGGTTTTCGCAAATACATTGTTAAGTCTCACTGAACTAAAAAGATGCAGATTCGCTTTCCTTTGCTTGAGTATCATAGATCAACTTTCAACCTTCGCAGTGCCGTGAATACCAAGTGATTAATGGTGACAAGTTTCTGCTTTTAATTTTTCATGTAACTGTCCTACCGTTTAAGTTGTGTCAAATCAAGCCAGGTGAGTCAGTTACCTTATGCACCCAGATGGGTAAATTTTCAGCATTTTTCGCACACCTTATTCGTGGATGCAAATTTACAAAATTATGCGAAATGAAACTGAAAGTGGTAGCTATTGTCTCTGGCAATGAAGCAAGCAGTTGCATAATTTGGTGGAAACGTTCTCCCTGTCAATAACTAAACGTATGAGATATGGCAAAACTGAAGTACCAGATACTGAGGTAATGGCAAATAAAATTTTGAACCTTTAGCGTGTGAATGATATCGATACAGCGGTTGAAAGTTTGTTATGTAATGAGGGAACAGTGTCTGAGAGTATTTTGGCAATAAAAGTTTCCCTTGCCTATAGGTTTCTGTCCATGATGGAGTCTGCAAGCTTTTGCTCTAGCAACGCCATTATATTTAGAGATATGTTTTAGGGATCTTGCCAGTGAGTCTATTTTCAACAGACCGTGCGAAACTCAGCGGGGAGTAATACAACCAGTGGGAGAGCTTGCATGCATTCACCAACCTAACAATCAACTTGTGGGAAATAGAAAGTATTCTTAATCGGAGTGAGAGATATGAAAGCTTTCTAACTTTACAGAGTGTTTTCTGAACGTGCAGTGACCATGATAAATTGTGTGATAAGGTGATGTCAAGGTATTTTAATATTCTTGATTTCGGTACAGGTTGTTGATTGACAGAGAGGGTGGGGAACCTACCTGTGAGGATTGACTATGGTACGTCGGCCAAGAGAGAAAACACAACATCCTGACATTTAGAGGCATTCAATGAGAGAGAACGGGACAAAGACCAGGTAACAACGTCGGTTAGCTTGCTTTCAATATCTGAGGCCTCTTCAGGAGTGGATGCTTTGCAACCTAAAACAACGTCATTTGCGCTTTTACAGCCAATGAATGTGGAAGGAATGAGAAGATTGTTTGATATACATTGAAAAGAAAAATGGGGAAAATATTACACCTTGCAGAACACCAGAAACAACTGGGTGAGTGAAGGATTTTTTACGGTCGAGACACGTGAAATGTCTTCTATTCATGGTATAATCGTAGATCAATCTGCCAACATTTGGATTAACACCACTTCCAGTCATCAGATTGAGCAATACCGATCTATCCAGAAAGCCAAATGTGTTTTTTCGTAGTCTAAGAACATCATTCTAACGGTTTTAAACTTTCTATCTATGGTCGTAAGTATTAAGCAAACGAGACAACCGACAGGAACAAATGTTGAGTACGCGAAGAGCGATACACCGTCTTCGGCAGACTCAGTGACAACCCACGGTAGCAAGCGTTCGTTGGGGCTTCAGTCAAGATGTGGGATTTGGGAAGAAGCTCAGTATGCATGGGTTACACGATGCGCATGAACACGGAGTAAAAAAGGTCTGGTCAACCACGAAGCACAGTGCGTACTGTACTACTACTACTACTACTACTACTACTACTACTACTACTACTACTACTACTACTACTACTACTACTACTACTACTACTACTACTACTACTACTACTACTACTACTACTACTACTACTACTACACGTGTGATTAAACTGGAGCAATATTGCTTGGGTTAAGTTGCAGCGATCGAGTAACAATTCACTGTAGCTCGATTGCTTAACAGATCGCAGAATGTGAGCCGATGAGACGATCACGTGTTCACGTGAATCTTTCATGAATTCAAAATTCTATTAGATTGACTGACTACTCTGATAGATTTTCTACAGATCGTATCAAGAACATATATGTTGTCACGTGACTTGCCGCCTTTCCTTTGTGATGGAGAGCGCATATTCAGCAATAAACATTGTTTATGGGCGACGTCTAGCTTTAGTCTTTCATCTTCATCTTCATTTGAATTTCTACGATTGAAAGACGTTAAATAATCTTTAATATGTCGCGTAAGTGGATCACACTTAACTTTCTCGTATGACTGCATTGTAATTTGTGGATGAAATTTCACATGTTGTTACTACTTTTATGGTTGCCGTTAGTGATGTGTTTTATTCCAATTTGGTTTGATTGTTGAGTTCGGAAAATTACTTCATTGGAAGAACACCATAGGAAAGGGGTAAATCAAATTACCGACAGAACGAAATATCTAACTGGCAAAAGTTGGTCGACGTTTTTGTGAATGTTTCTACGTCGGTGATCGCCAGCCCTACAGTCCGTTTGTCTCCTCTGTGTGTGAGGTCATATCGGGTCGTGGTGGCGCAGCTGTCTAGACGTTGTCATCGTCGTGCCGCAGACCTTGTGATCCGAGATTCGAGCTCTGCGACCGCTACCCTAAACTGATGGCAGACAGCTTTAAATTGTGTTCCGGGTCCATATCAGGCCGGATCTCACAGGGCTCTAGGTGGTTCGCCACTCCAAGCCTGGCGGGGTTTAAGTTACCGGTTCCCATCACTGAACAGCATCAGGTCCAGTCCATCTGCTGTTCATCACATAAGTGTGACGTTAAATTAATAGGAGTAAATGCCTTAATCCACCCGATCCGCGATCCAACTGAAAACACTAATCGCAATTATGATTGGTACCTCATATCAGTATTAGTAGTAGTAATAGTAGTGGTAGCAGTATTAGTATTATCAGTAGAAGCAGAAGTAGGTATAAGAGTAGGAGTAGTATTGGTGTTTATAATTCCACAAGGTGGTGACTGGTCGAGGACAGCTGTTTGTTACGAATAACGATCAGGAGGGTATCGGTAAAATGACATACATACAACCAAATGTGTCATTTAGAACGGGTCTTCAAAATTCTCACACGCACACAGAACAGTTAATGACACGGTTCACTATTAGATTCGCATTCTTGCAGATATCATGCGGAACAACAACAATTCGCACCAACTGGTCTTGTTCTCTTTTGGCCTTCAAAAGAAACCACTAATTGCATCTTTTTACGAATTACTCGCAAATGGGAGTAGTATCTCACATTAATTGCAGTAGTGGCAGATGAAAGGGATATATTTGTTGCACAAATGATTACGGAAGTGTTTGATGCAGTACAATTATTACCGGAACAAAAATGTGTTGTAAGAAATTCATGGATTTCATTGTATAACCAGAATCCGTAACACTTCGGTTGCGTCGATTCACCGAACATAGTTAGTTGTATCATTGAACCTGATTTGAGGATTTCACCATGAGAACAGATGGTTTTTGGAGATGCAACATGTCTGCACACTCTGAATGATCAACGCGGATGTTATTAGAAACGAAAATAAAATCCAATCAATGTCAGTCTGGAAACGACCCAGATAAGGTACATTGGGAAGTACCAGTAGGTTGCCAGTGCTATCCATAAAGCGGTGAGAACCTACATTGAAAGCAGAGTTCCTATGCAACCATACAAACGTACTGATTTAAACATCAAATCAATGTTTGCTCTGCAGTGCATAATTTGAAACTGATTCGCTTTTTTCAATTTTCTGTAATTAGTTAAGTTCTATGGGCAGTCTTTCGATTGTTTTCGTTCCATCCTATAACGACGCGCGAGGGAACTAAAACTTTCACAGTTTTGAATTCCTTCACTTCTAACAAAAAAGTATGATGAAAACGTTTTGATAGGCTGTCTGTTTCAGTTGCATGCCAAAATTCTAAAATAACTCCCTACCAGATTATCCTGATCAACGAAAGGTGATCGTACTGCTGAGGCAAGTGAGTTTTGCAATAAAGAAAAACGAATATATCAAACACCAAACTGGTTAAACAAGGAACGAACCGTTGCACAATTCAGCGGGTATTTGGATGAGTTGAGCTAAATATTTGAAAGAAATTACAGAACAAAAATGTGATCAAGACGATTATGTCCAGACTTCATCCATAGTGAATTCCCCAAGTGGGACAGTGGAAACTCACAGCAAACACGCAATGATAGATCCCACGCATCCTGCTCAAAACGTTCTCAGTGATATCAGAGTGATGTTCCGAATGGTTTCGTATCCATGCACCCAAGGAGGCAATAAAACACTGTGACTACTACCAATACTCCTACGGCTACTACTACTGGTAGTAGTAGCAATGTTACAAACCCCCTAACCTGTTCCGAGATATCTTGTTCCTTGTTGTATATCGTAAGTCAACAAATTCTCCACATGCGCTCGTTAAATATACTACTCACAAACGGAGTGATTAGTAGTTGTTGTTGCGCGAGATGGGGGAAGACCAAGCGTTTAGATGTGTAGACAAGCATGCACACACATAAGCAAATCAATTCATTCACAAACTCTAGCTAGCACTTCACGGAGAGTATCGTTCGTCGAAGAACCTCGTACACGATCGATAATTATGATCTATGCTCACTAACCAGGGTATACATTTTCAAATAGAACAAGGAGTGGCGAACAAGCTCGTTTTCAGTGATTCGTAGTCATGCCAAATACATCACAATAAATATCACGCTGTTTGTATTCAATCATAAAAAACGTAAACAAATGTTTCGGGAAAGGGAAAATAACCTCATGGGTTATCTGGGGGCTAAGTTCATCTTGGGACCGGATATGGAATTCTCAATGATCACATAATTGTTAGGTCATCCGATCGTTGGGACCACTCGGAATATGGGGTGTACAGGGGGTCTTTGTCACCGCAACTGTCAACTCGAGTCCTCTAACACTGAGGAACAGAAGACTTGAAAGAGTTGTTTGATNTGTTTGATCACATTCAACGTATAAAAAAAACGATGATTAGAATTGTAGGGGCAGGATTTTTTTTATAAGTACAATGATCAATGTTTTGATTTTGTTTCAGTACTGATGCAAGGATCCATTCAAGAATGACGTGACGAAATAGCGGGGTTTTGCAACCATTTGTTATGCCAATTCAATGAAGCCCCTATTTCAGTTCCTGTCCTAACGGACGAGTTGTTTGACGATCGGGATTCTAACTTGACCGATTGCTGTGTGTGGAGAAATGGATGTAGATAATGAGTGAACTTCAGTCCCAGTGGGATTTGATGACAGTTTTTACCATCATTCGACAATTTCGAAATGGAGGAGGAATAATCTTTCTGTTTCTGAGCTGTCA